TATAAAAAAAAACGTCACAGTATAGTATGTCGTCAAAAACCATGAAAAAAAGTCATAGCATAGTATGTCATTAAAAATTATGAAAAAACGTCATAGTAAAACATGTCGTCCAAAACCATGAAAAGTCGTATGTCGTCCAAAACCATGAAAAAACGTCATAGTATAGCATGTCATTAAAAATTATGAAAAAAGTCATAGTATAGTATGTTGTCAAAAAATTCGAAAATAAGTCATAGTATAGTATGTCATCCAAAACCATGAAAAAAGTCATAGTATAGCATGTCGTCAAAATCTATGAAAAAAAAAGTCATAGTATAGTATGTCGTCAAAATCTATGAAAAAAAAAGTCATAGTGTAGTATGTTGTCAGAAGTCATGAAAAAATGTTATAGTATAGTACGTCGTCAAAAACCATGAAAAAAGTCATCGTATAGCGTGTCGTCCAAAACTATAAATGACGTCATAGTACAGGATCTCGTCAAAATCTATGAAAAAAGTCACAGTATAGTATGTCGTCAAAAACCATGAAAAAAAGTCATAGTATAGCATGTCGTCAAAAACTATAAAAAAAAACGTCACAGTATAGTATGTCGTCAAAAACCATGAAAAAAAGTCATAGTATAGTATGTCGTCCTCCTTAGTTTCCCATGATGCTTACCTGTGTCTCAGTCAGACACAACCCACTGGCCAGCTGCTTCCTCTCGGCTCCGACGACATAGTGATTTTTTTCAAATGCTCGTTCTAAGCGCAACAGCTGAGAGGGCGAGAACGCTGTCCGGATCCTTTTGGGTTTTCTGGAGAACGGACCATGAAGCAGCAGGTTCTCTGGACTGCTGTCGTCCCCTGAACACAAACACAAACAAACAAACACAGCGATTAAGAAACAATAATCTGTAGTGACACCTGCCCCACATGTTTACAGGAACAGGAACTGAATATAAATATCACATTTGTTGAATCGTTCTACCAGAAGAGCTGAAAAAATAAAGACAGAACAACAAAACTTAGACACTTTACTTTCCCCTGTTGTGAACTGAATCACCGCAGGATGAACTCTGCAGTGGTGTGAGACAGCGATAAAGTGATCAAGATATTTACACAGATGAAAAACAGTAAGTTAAAGTTGGTATATAAATGCTCAATTTAAATGTTCACGCTATGAAAACAACCAAATCTGTCGTTTTATCACCGTCAGTGATCGTCCAAGTTTAGCAGAGTCCAGTAATGGAAAGTAACTGAATACATTTACTCAAGTATTATACATAAGTGCTGTACTTACTGTATCTCAGTAGCTTCTTAAGTTAAATCAACTCTTTAAAAACCTTCTTGGATCAGCTGGGTTACTGGTGTTTTGTTTTTTCTTTTTTATACATATTTATTGATCATTGTTGGAGTGAGACTGAGACTCTAAGATTCATTTTTCTCTTGTGACTGGATCAGTCCAGTCACTAGAGAAAAATGTTGGTATTGAACGTTTGTGGAAATCACGGATACGTTACACTGGTACGTTTCATCTGTCTCCTATCAACGTTTCTATAGTGAAGCAGTTCTGCTACAGTCTGAGATCTCAGGACTTAGTTTTGTTTTGTCTGTTCCTGGTTCTCGGACTGAGCTGGGAGACAAAGATTTCCTGTGCTCTGCTTCTGTGACCTGGAGTAACCTTCAGAACGAGAAACTACATGAAAAATCTCTGCTTAACTTTAAAGGATGAGTGAATCAGTTGGTTCTTGTCATTGTGTGCAGGTGTTCTAATATTTCTACATGTTACTGTGAATATTTTATGTTTTTATTGTGGTGTTGTTTGGCTGTAACTTTCCATGTGCTGCCAGGTCTTCCTAAAGTCAGCGGGACTCACCTGGTGAAAAATGTGTTAAATGAATAAAATCATCTGCACTGACTTTGGGTGAGACGCCTGCAGCTGCAGACCAATGTTTGACACCAACAAACAAAACCAGATTGTTTTTACCGACACATCTGTGCTCAGGGTTTGTGCCACAAACCAGATATTTAAGTCACAACATGATCTTTTCCTCACTGTGAGTGTTTTTGTGCCTAAATATGACGTTAAAAAAGTTTCAAACTATCTGCAACATAATGACGTAGCAATGCAACGTATCTGTGGTTTATAGAAACGTACAAAGACATTTATTCTGGTGACTTAGTTTAATAAGATGTTAGTGTGCTTTTCGTCATCCTCGGCCTCTTCAAACACCTCAGGGAGTTCATACGAGTCGTCTTGAGCAGTTTGAAGAATCAGCATATAGTGCAGACTGAGAAATCATTTTTCAGACAGTTGGAGTTGACGGGCTCAGAAGTAGGAGACAATCAAGATGAAGCCAAGTCTCTGAACATTTCACCTCATACAATATCAGCATGTATCAGTGAACCTAACCTTTTATTTTATCCTCTAACTGTGGCAGATTCTTCAGTGATTGTCCTGCAGTCAAATGTTTCCACTCCGCTCTCATTTTTGTGACAATTAAGAACATCAGCATTTCATCAAACAGTTTTCATTGAGTCCTGTTTCCACAAATATTAACTCCTGATACTGTCGATCCCTCCGCTATAAAAAGAAACAGTTTTCTGTTTTTATCAGCAACTTTAGTTCCTCAGGTACAAATTCTGTGGCACAGAGTGCTGCAGGAGTCGCTTCTTAAACGAAGGAAAGTATTGAGGATTTTAGCACTTCGCACAAAACTTGAATCTTAAATCAATCAGGAAAATTTGATGATGATGAAACGTGTGACTGTTTTATAGTGATGGGAGTAAAATCACAAAATAAACTCTATTAATTTACTTTCAGTCTAAATGTTATTGATCTTATATTTGCAGCTGACGGTCTTTACAGTTATTATCCTTTTCTTTTTAGGAGAATATTAACTCTGAATTTTACCCCAAGCGACAGGCAGCTGAAAATAATTTGAGTTGAACTTTGACCCTCAAACAGCTGAAGAAGTGAAAGCAGACAGAGAGAAGACAGACCGGCAGAGAACTATGATACAGATCATTTATCCATTAAAGTATTGAACAGTTTATGTGAAGAGTTGATTTACAGAAACAGATAAGAGCCCTTTTTAAAATGAATAAATCACCAGTCTGACAAATATTCATTTGAGGGCACAAAAACAAGATCATTTAAAACAGTTCAACATTTAAAAGCTTTGAGACAACCAACACCAGTCTGACTGTTACTTCCTGACTTTTAGGAAAATCAGTGACAATGGAGATCTCTGTTTCGGCAGATTTGTTAAAGGTAAATATGCACGTGTGTGTATGAACATCTTACATTACATCTTCATCTTACATTAAAATAATCACAGAAATCCACCTATAGCTCCTCCCTCTGCGTCAACACTGTGCTCTCCTCCCCTCATGTCTGTGACCTCCATCTTTGATCGAACCCTCTCCTCTGACCAACACATCAAACACATCAGCGTCCTCCATCTCAGAAACACCACCCACCCCATCCATCCCTCTGCTTTACAGCCATTCATCACTGCAGACTGAGACAGTCTCCTCTACGGGTCATCAACACTCTCAACAAACTACATCCAGACTTTAGCTGCTCGTCTCCTCACACACCTGTGACCACATCACCTTCGTCCTTCATCACCTCCACTGGCTCCCCATCCCCCAGCATATCCACCTCACACTCCTCATCATCACCTGTAAAGCTCTCCACAACCTGAACCCACTCACCAGAACACACCTCTTTAACACTGCCTCCATCCTCCATCCTCCCTCTCTGCATTGTTTCCCCTCTTATCAAGTATTTTGTTGTTCTCTGTGAAGCATCTGAGTATCCAGAAAAGCACTATATAACTCCAATGTGTTATTGTTAATAACATTATTAAAAAATATAATAAATTGTTCTTGTTTGGGGACGCCCAATAGCTCAGCAGGTGGAGTGGGGACAAAGGCTGCGTCCTGTCGCAGCAGCAGTGGGTTCGATTGTTTGGACTTCCTTTAACTCAAAGGAAGGTGTGTGTGTGTGTGTGTGTGTGTGTGTGTGTGTGTGTGTGTGTGTGACTGAAGTCTGACTCAGCGTTTGACCACAGCCATGATGATGTCATCAGTGTTTCTAAAAACAAAAACTGGGTCAGTTCACACAGAGAAACATCGTCTCACTGTCACAAACACGTCTGTCGTAATAACATTTAACATGTGACATTAATAAGAATTCACATATTTATTACACAGGCTAAAGATGTAGAAATATGTGTGAGAGGTTGATCAGCTGTAAATTCCTTGGCACACACACACATTTCAGAGGACCTCTCATGGACGACTAACAAGAAGCGTCTGTACATCCTGAGGACGCTCGGGACACTGAACCCGTCACAACAGTTTCTGGTGTCGTTCTGCCGCCGCTCCACTGACAGCATCCTCACATACGGCGTCTCTGTGCGGTGCGGTGGATAAAACGCCTCAGCAGAAACTCATAAAATCTGCATAGATCATCAGACATCAACAGCTTGCTGCCCTGGACGACACCTTCACCTCCCGCTGCAGAAAACACACAACATCATGAAACACTCGTTCCATCCTGCTCATCAGCTGTTTGACCTGCTGGCCTCCAAAAACACTACAGCTCCATCAACAGTCTGAACCCCACAGTCGTCACCACTCTGACCTCTGACCTCTGACCTCACTAAAACACAGGACAGTTCTTTTATAACTTATTTCATGTGCAATAATCTGCATGAGCATTTTATTTAAATCCCATTTTAACTGCATACGTTGGCAGAGTGTATAACATGTGCAAATGTGTAGAATGTGAACGGAGGCATTTATTTATTTATTTTTATTACTATTTGTTATTTCTATATATGAGCCCGGCCCATGAGTGCACCTGGATTTCATTGTATGTTTGTACAATGACAATAAAACAAAATCTAAAATCTGAAAAACAGAGGAAACTGGACGATGTTCATCAGAGAAAATAGAAATTACTGGTCGATTATTAACTAAATTTTAATCATCAACTAATTGTTTGAGACATTTTCAAAGCAGAATGTCAAATATTTGCTTCTTAAAATGTGTTTTTTTCTTTTTCTCTCTGTTTTATATCTCAATTAACTTTAAATATCTTTTTACAAAATAAAACATCTGGTAACTTGTGACGGACGATTTCTTATAAAGAAAAATAATCTGCAGGATAAAAATAAAATAAAATGAAATTGTTTACTTGTAATATGTAAATTAAGTATATACAGTTATTAAATAATGTCGTCATTCACTTCAGAGGAAAGTACTTTGTTCTTTATCCACACAGCTGGAGCCATTTACAGTTCAGTTAAAGATGCAAACCACAGAAATATAAATACAAAAACCTGAACCTGCGACAACATTAAAACTTATTTTGCACCCTCAGGAACATTTTCCTGCTGACAGCGACACACTGTCTGTCTGCACGCTATCTTCCCTCTGTGGTGTTTCTGATTTTCCTTCAGTGTTTAAAGGCTTTCATTTCTGACCACTCAGATTTTCACACGTTAAAGACACAGACACTAATTTGTTTATTAGACGTGACGACGTTCAGTAAATCCGTCTGAAACTAAGTCGGTAAAAATGGACATTGAGTTTCTCTTTGTGTCGTCGCTTTCGCTTCAAACCCACATCAAACATCTGCTTCACGTTTCTGACCGCTTATTAAAATCAAACGTGAATGTCACAATAATATTTTACATAAAAACAAAGTTTCCTCAACCGCTGCAGCTCGGCTGAAAGGAGCCGCCATCGTCGACACGCCGCACGCAAAAAAGTCGGTTGCTCGGCGGCTTCGAGGAGGCGAGGAGGACAATGATGGCGTGCAGAGAGCCGACGCGTGCTCACGCCTGTTA